TCAATTGCTCCAGGAGGAGGCCGTGGGGAATCATATCAAAAGCCTTGGAGAAATCCAGGTAGACAACATCGACCGCTCGCCCCATGTCAACCGAGCAGGCCACTTTATCATAGAAGGCCACCGGATTTGTCAGGCACGATCTGCCCTTGGAGAAGCCGTGTTGGCTTTTCCCAGTCACGTACTTCATTTGACTCGTGATGGCCCCCAGGAGGATCTGTTCCATGACTTTCCCGGGGACTGAAGTAAGAGTGATGGGCCTATAATTACCTGCATCCTCCCCTGAGCCCTTCTTGTAGATAGGGGTAACATTCACCTTCCTCCAGTCCTCTGGGACATCCCCCGATCTCCACGACTTCTCAAAGCTTATGGAGAGTGGCCCCGCAATGACATCAGCCAGCTCTCAACACCCTCGGGTGGATGGCGTCAGGGCCCATCGATTTGTAGGGGTCAAGCTCCTGTAATAATTCACATACAAACTCCTCCTTCACTGATGGTGGGTCTAGGTTTGGACAAACCTGGATTTTCATTCCCAGTGTAGATTTCCTTCTCCAGTGGGTAAAATGCAGCAGAGGTCACCTGGTATTTGTCTTGCCCATCATGTGGTTCTACGGAGAGACCAACAGCCCGGAGCAGCAAATCTTGTTGGAACCAAAGTAGAAGCAAAATTGGTGTTTTCTAATGCTACCTGTGGTGGCCTTAGTATCAGTTGTGTCAATGTAGGCCTTACTCCTTTAATTATTCTTTCCTTTCCCACTTTTTACTCTACAATATATATTGTAGAATAAAAATATATATATCTATTCTACAATGTATACATTTATTCTACAATATATATTATACAATTCTTTACAATGGAAAAGTTACTATTTAGATGGTGCTAGTAAATGTACCTCATCTGCTCTGTCATTTGTGTGAATTTAATTTTACTTAACTCTGTATTTTATAATCTGATTTTTAGAAGTATTTTCTCTTACACAGAGGCTCAATGATAAAACTGGACCAGTTGCGTCAGAGAAGAGTTGACATTTGAATGATACTTGAGAACTGCATGTCCTGCTGTTATAGCACTTCACCTGGCTGCAAACTGCAGTTTTCCCTTCTGCAGACTGAAGAAATGCAACAAGGAACTCTTACTGCACAGCAAAAGGTTAATGATTTCCACAAGGGTATTTTTGGTAGGCTTTCATTTGCTTTCTTGTTGCACTAAAATGGATGTACTTTTTAATGTTTCAGACTGTGAAGTAGATAAAACTCTGCAAACCATAATTATTTTGTCAATACGATGGTACTAAGTACAAATTCAACCATAGAAGAGCATATACATGACTCTTCAGTCCTAATCTTATAAATTGCAAGGCTAGCAGACTGGCTGCAGTCAGGCATTACTTTGGTTTCAGAGCAGTAGTTTTAAAAACCCACCCCGACCCTAGCCAGTCTGATCTGCTGCTGCAGTTGCAATATATCCTTTTAGACTAAGCTCGTCATGGCAGCCTGGACTTGCTGTTTGTCCTTTCTTTTTTACACACTTGTTTTGAAACCTGACTCATAAGGGAAACCACTTCCGAACTTTTTATTCCTTTGAATTCCTGTTGTTATATAGTGGGAGCTTTTCCTGAGTAAGACTTACAGTATGGAATCCAAAGTTTATTAATTTTGGTGTAGGTTTTAGAGTTCTGAGGTTTTTAAAGGAACCGGTTCGGTTCCCGTGACAAAGTTTTCTTACCAGATGAGAAGGCCACACTGGAAGAAGAATGTGTAGTGTTTGGCCGAAACCAAGTGCCTGTTGCTACCTCCATTTTGTCGAAATGGCTGCAAACAGCTGATCATGCACTAGACGCGTCCTTGTTAGCAGCGGGAATATTCTGTGTTGCACCAGCAGCCTTGTTGTTCTGCCTTTACTAGAGGTGTTTGTACCACTGTAGATAGCTCAGGCAGATTGTTACCTGGGTCACTTTTCACTAATAAATTACCAAAAAAGTGAGTTAGTATTTCCCACTATAATTTACCAGTGGTTGAAACGGGTGAACTTGTGTTACACCACTTCCAACAGCAGCTGATTTCATGGCGTGAGTCTATGCAGTATGGCGAAGGATAGCTTCAATGGGGGTAATGACCACTAATCAATATTAAGGTGGGAATTATTAGAGGAAAAGACCCAGCTGTAATTAGACCTCCACTGTGTACTTACTTGGAAGAACATGTTAATTCTGCAATATGTTTCTTAGTTAAACATTGCACAGTTCTTACCTCATTTCTGTAAATAAAGTTTTGTGAATCTGTTTTGTATTGTGAAGAATTCATAAGAAAACATTGATATTTTGATTTGTAATATTTCTAATTAGTAGATTTAATTGAAAAAGTAAAAATAATTTATTTTTATATGTTCTGGGGAATTTTTTAAAAATGTCACAAATCACTTTTGTAGATACTTTACAAAAGTAAACCAGTGGTTTATTTTACTTACTCAACGCACTGGTGGATATTCTGTAACAATTTGTACAAAAGGTAAGATGGAAATGTGCTGTTATTTTGACTAGATGTAAAATTCCAAGTGTATGAAAAGATACGTGCAAAGCTTTTGTTAATAAACTTTAATAATGTTTATAGTTGTATACTGCTTGTGTGAACCTGAGTCTCGTAGGAGAACGGACTATTTCTGTTAACATCACAGGACAGGAAGGATTTCAATCGCACATGGCCACTAACGTTTATTACAACAATCTTTTAAAAATGTTTCTCATGTAAATTTTGACTTTTCACGAGACAGATGCAGCTGCAGTACTGTCCAGGGATGTGTTTGCTTACTGGACGTAAAAGTCCAGTTGCAGCCCTGTGCCGTAGTCTGATGTCAGAGGTTTTTGCTCTCATCGTTGAACGAGAAATTGCAGTGGAACTGCAGGAGGAGGAGCGAGCTGTTGCTGTAATTTCATTTTGAAATAGCCTGGTGAGAGCTCTGCGGAGATGGGACGGGCTCTTTGTCTACACCATGCCTGTGCTAAGGCAATCGAGGCCTTTGGCTGTTGCTGTAATTTTTGTATTGTATTTTCTGTAAAACCAGCTCAATGTTTTTTCAGAAATTTAGCTTATTGTCCATGGAGGCGTTGGTAAACGCACAGCTGGACTCCTCCTGGTCTTTTATTTCCCAGGCAGCAAGGAGGAACGTGACCCTTCCCCTACTGTCACTTGAAGGTGAAATGTGAGGTTTGTGGTAGAACAGGTTTTAGCAGACAAGGGGCGCATTATGGCTCCCGCAGGATTTTCAGCCCCTTGCCAGTCAGGCGCCGGCTCCGGCTTTGGAACAAGCAGCAGGAAGATGGTGTTGCAAAGGCCTGTGGCATTTGCGTACTCTTCCATCTGCTCAAGTCCTGAGGATTGAATATTTGCATTTTGTTTTCAAATGGGGAAAACCAGAGTCCCGAAAGAAGACAGGTAAAGGAGCAAGCTGGGCACTAACCGTAGGGGAGTGTGAGCCACCCTCTGGCACAGGTAGGGCCATCACTAACATCCCCCCTCCCACTGATGAATGCTCTGTGCTGTAAGGCGAAGAGCCTCGGAAGACTGGTTGAACAGAAGGCATTTCTACTGATTAAAACCTGTGCGCCGCCTAGACCAGCTCTAGCACTGGGTACCGCCTTTCTTCTGGCCCTGTTGGCACTGACTATTTGTCAGTCAATGCGAAGAAGGGAGGGTATGTAGCACATATACGCTGGGCTATGAGACTTGTACTTCACAGCGCTCGACGTGCAGGTGAGGGGGGAGGAAAGCCCGGTGTGCCCACCAGCACGAGGCCTCCAGGGAATCCCGAGTCCCTTCTACTGAGGTCATGGACCGGAGGCTGACGTTACTGCTGCTCTACTCACGGACCTGCGATGAATCCAAAAGCTTCCACCTGGTAGACAAGACGTGTCAGTAAGTCACCTTGCTCCTATTGGAGCAGCACCATAGCAACCAGTGAAAGTGGCAAGTCCGGCTTTTCCTTGTGGGTTTCCTTTGTTTGAGAGGGACTGCCTAAATCCTAGAGAAGCATGAAAGGGGCAAAGTTGGAAGTAATAGTGAGATCGTCAAATTCAGGACGTTCTTAAAATCGCAACTTGTTAGAGACTGGTGCCAGCCGCCCAAGATCACAATGGCTGTTTCACAGTCCTCGTAGTCCTGATGGACCAACAATCAACAGCAGGGAAATAATGGAAAGGACAGTTCTGACATCTAAACAAAAATCCAATTCACTAGCCCTTTAAAGAAAGAGACCACATCAAAGCCAAGTTCATGTGAGGGCCAGATGCAGTCAAAACCAACCTTGTTTCAATGATGTTGCAGATCCTGACATCAAAGATGATGGGCTGTGGCTGATCTGGCACCAGTTCAGTGGAAGCCGATAGTGCCGTCCCTGTGGAATGCCTCTGATGCCAAAGCAGCCCAAGCCACTCCGCAGGTCCCCGGCAGCCAAGTCACTGGTTACTGAGCTGCCCTCAAATGTCTCGGGAGCTGCTGCGGGTTCAGAGTCACGAGAGCAGCACAGACGAAACGTGCACCGTTTCAGCAGTTCCATGTTAGCAGGCTTTTGAACTTCCTAATTTTTTTTTTTCCACCAAAACCCAGCTTTACTGACAACAATGATGACACACCTTATGGCTTACAGGAGCCAACTAATTCTGGACAGCCTAGGACATCTCAAATCCTGTTTTTATCAACTTTTTCACGCTGTGTTAGCAGGAGCTACTCCCAGCAATGAGATTGTGTGACATTTAACTGACTGAGGTTCTGGTGCCTGCTTCTCATAAGCTGCACTAAAACCTCGCTGTTTAAAGTCAAACACGCAATGCTTCTGTTGTTTTCAGACTTTGTCATCTCATAAAGATGACATAAAGATGCAAAATCTTCCCTGAAACAAATGTGTGTTTTAATTAGTTCATACATTGTCAGCTGCAAAACTGAGAATACTATAGTCTAAACATTTAGATCTACAGGCCATTGCAGAACAGCGTTGGTTAGTCTTTGAGAACTAACCTAACCAAAATTACAGCACCATTAACCTTTGCAGCATCTGAGTCATACTCTGCTCATTCACTTGTGTAGGGTTGTCCGGCTATCATTTTACAAAATCCTGATGCTTCAGCTGGGCATTTGGGCTGCATCCTCAGCGTGGCACGGTAACACTCCCCTCCCTGGCTAGTCTGGCCCCAGCGCCCCTGTCCGTAGCGCCTTGCCTGTCCCATCCACAGGGACACGCAGAAGATGCTCAAAATAGACTCAGATCTTACTCATTTAAGTGCAAGTCACAGTATAGAAGATACAGCATAGACCCTGTAAGACTGAAAGCTTCTCATGCACCAAGTTATAGTGCAAAAGGCACTTTGAGGTACAGCTCACAACTGCCCAGGAAAGTGAAAATATTTTAAAAAAACATATTAACATTACTTGAAAAATCTGCATCCTGTGCTAGAACCAAAGTTGGAAGAAGTTGCTTAAATCCCAAGCCTAGAGTGACCGCGACTGTCATGGACAGGAAGTTTTAGGGAACAGAAGCTTTGGTGGTGGATACCAGGACCATGAGAAAACAAAGCCTGGCTATTCTTACAGAGACTGGCCGCTGTTTACCACTTCTCCAGAGAGCATCGCATCTCACCTCGGCGATCACAGCCTGGAGCCGCTGCCAGAGGGGCCCACGGTCTCATCACACAAAAACCCAGCAAGCCCAGGAGAGGACCCTGAGAGAGCCTGAAGATGCTGGACGCCTACTCCCACCGCCCTCCTCCCCGCAGCCAAACATGAGGAACAAAACGTGAGGTGAGACTGGCTGGGGCCCGGACAAAGCTTTCACGACCTGAAGGATCCCTCCTGGACAGGTATCTGCGCACGTGGGTGGAGAGATTCGATCCACCGATGCTGGACACTGACTCATGTTCCTCATCCCAAAACCTACGCTGCCCGACTGCCAGTCTGGAACACCCTTCGGTTCCACAGGACCCACCAGTGCATTGCAAAACCTTCCCCATTCTTGACGACGAGACAGTTGGGCTGGCACCCGCTCACGGCGCAGTTCCACTGCGGGAGAGGCCAATGCCTTTCTCTGACACAGCCAGCTCACCTCTACTTTCAGGCAGCTTGATTCTTCAAGCAATAAGGAGGCAATCCATCAACTCACTTCCATCCAGGCATGAGCAGCACCTGTGATTAGACATTCACATCCATCACTTCAGGTACTCAACCTGACAAGTGCAACACGATGACATGTACAATCTTTGCCCATCCTTAAGGATCTTCCTTCAGATAACCTGTATTTGTCAGGAGCGCTGCTTTAAGTTTCCCAGTGTGAATGTTCTTACGAACAAGAAAAAAGTTTCCTACCAGTACGTGGTGCTCGTCCTTCTTCCTTAGACCCTCGTCCAGAAAGCCTAGGGCGGAGACAAGCTGAAGGTGCTGGGCAGGCAGTCTGTTACAGCTGCCCGTACGCACTAGTGATGTGGGCGTCTTGAGCAGGCGCTCTTACACGTTTAAGTTTTTAAAGATGCCCACTGATAAAGGTGTCAAAGCCCCTGCCAAGTCCTTATTACATTTGCCACTGGATTTTTTTGCCCCAATATCTAACTAAACCATTTCTCGCTCCAAAGTGAGCCCATTATTATTCTGCATGGCCACAACAGACGTAGCACATCTGTAGTAATTGTGTCAGGGAGACACAGAGATCACGCACGTGCAAAGCTCCCCTTTGACATACCTGAAGATTTACCTCTCGCTCGCTCTCTAGTGTAGAGCAAACACCAACAACTCCTCCTGTCCTTCCTAGCGCATCGGGCTTTGTAGACTCTGGAGCATTCTCTTTGCTCTCTTCTGGACAGTCCACATCTTCCTTGAAGCGTGATGATACACCAAACTGGGCACACCACTCCAGGTGAAGTCTGGTAAACCCGGGGTGCAAAGACGACTTTTATCCTCGCAGGCTATCCTCTCCCATTACTTGCTTGCTTTTTTTGAAACAGCAGAAATATTCCAATTGCCAGTCTATTTTTTTCATGAACAATACATCTCCATTAGCTCGTGTTCTTCCGCCCCAGCCCTACCAATGCTCCCCCGAGTTAATTTTCACCAATTCACCTAACCATTTTAGCAGCTTTTCTTTGTAGCCATTTCAGTTACCTTGCTTTACAGCTACAGTCATCTACCTTTGAGTGTTCTGGATGACCAACACCTTTCTGAAGTTAAGATTTCCTGATATTTCTTGAAAATATCTCACTTGGTCTCACTTAACACTCTTCCTTCACAGGTGCGTTAGTAGCACAGAATTACTACTTGATCAATTACCACACACGGATCATAGTACAGCTCCTAAGTGTGTTTAGTTTCCAGTGCAGTTAACCCGTGAAGTTCTCTGTGAAACAAAATTTAGATGCATTATTTTGTATCTAGTAAAGCTTCCATAATATCATTATTTCTACTGACTAAGATTAATTTTTTTATATGTGACCAAAAAAAAAAGTTCTACTTGGTAAGGAGCACATATGGAACACTGTTATTTTCCCTAAATACTTCTCCCTTAAAGTTTTACGGGAATGGCATGAAATTTTGTGAAATGCTGATCTGTCAGAAGCAACACAATTCACAAACAGTCACTGGGGAAAACCAACAGTGTAAATGGCAGAAAGTTAACTGAGATTTTCAGCCACCAAGCTCTGATTTGCAGTTCAGATACAAGGTTTTCATTTTTTTTCATTTTAATGAACTGATCTTTCATTTTAATTTTGCATTAAAGCGCAAAAACTTACTAGAATCCTGGTATTAAATCAGAATTTGAGTGGTAAATATTTCTTTAAAAAACGCAAGTCCTTAATGTTTCTTGCAAAAGACTATGATCGCTTCTCTGATTTACTGATGTAATTTACAGCCCATTAAGTACCCTTTATTCCAGCATTTGAAGCTTTGTATAACAACTTTTCCAAAATTATGAAAAACAAAACAGCAAGTAAGGAATAGTAGCGCTTATTACCTGTTCTTCAAATATCAAATCAAACTATACTGAATCCAGGGTATACAAACCCCCCCAAATATGAGAACTCATTGCCAATAATGTTAGCTTTTAAGTCCCATTCTGTAGTTAAAAACTGGTCATGAAGGTATGCCTTATAAATCTTAATTAGAGGCCTTTAATGTTCTTACCCATTTCAACTTTACCAAATAACAGCACTACCAAATATCACCGGGGATTAGTCTGCAGAGTTGGTACAAAAGCAGTTATATTGCAGGTGCGTATAAATGTACATGGAAGTTAAGATTAGAAATACTGCTGCTTTCAAAATATTGTCAGAATGACTGGACATTTCACGTAGCAGCAGACATGCTTGTAAGCATATTGTCTTCTATCTATAGCTGCAAGAAAGAAAAAAATACCTTGAGCGCAGAGTTCCATTACTCTCGTCCTTGCTTAACAGTTTCAGATCAATTCTCGTTTTCGTAACATTTAATATTCGTTATATTCTGTATATGCATTAGCTGTAAACCTACCAGTTCAGGATGCAATTATCAGTGTGGCTTTTCCTGAAGGTCCACTAATTGTTAAGACACTGTGATCACACATCTGCGTAAGCAGCTCTCCAATACAAAAATACACCTTCATTCTTCAACACACAAAATAGGTCGGTAGGATGCTATAAGGTTTATTGATATTTTCTTTTACTAAGGCACATGACGTATAGAAATACTGAGGTACAAAAATGCAGTTCCCTGCATATGAGATTTAAAACCCCATTTTGACAAAGATGAGCTAAATCTCTCCTGCTCAAAACATTCAGCTTTTAGCCATTTTTTTCTTTTGTACCAGTTCAACAAGCAACTTGTATCTTGCTATACACTCCTCCTAAAAGGAAAAAACAAAAGTGTTAATTAAAGTTGGATATTTAATATTGCTTTAACTCTCAATTTATGTTTCTTAATGGATAACTCCTCTCTTTAAAGGGCACACAAACCCAAGAAAAGAGTTACCCGGTATTTCTTGACAATGACCGTAAAAGCAACGATTAAACGGTTGTATTGTAATATCTATTTCAGAGCCGTTATTCTGGTGCGAGGCACTCTGCCGACAGGTTACCTTGTTAAAGGCAAGCCTTTACGGTCACTAACACAGCACCTACTGACACCAGATACTGCTGAGCAGAGCCAGAGAAACACCCAAATCCCCCACCCACGTCTCCTGCTCTCTCACGCTGGTTTTGGCACAAGTGAAATGAGGATTTTCTGCAGCTACAGTGACTGAAACGAGCACACTAACCTATCACAGCTATCATGGAATCTAACACAGACCAACTGTATCAATGACAACGAACATTATTTTTAAAAGATTATACTTACAAAAACAACATTAGATAGATTATTGAGCATATAACACTTGTGGATGGATTACTTATTTTGTTTGCTCACTGAGATGGGTTGAGAAAGGTACTGTAAAAGTGTAAGCAAAGCAGCTCACCAACATTTGGTTACTACTTTGAATCAAAATCTGTCTTAAAATCTAATTTGTCCTGCAATTGAAGATCTGAAAGGCAGAGGAGAAGTAGGAATTTTAAATGAAACAGGAGGTATTTCAACATGTTCTGTAACAGATCAAACAAACTGAATTAAATGAAAATATATTTTAAATAAAAACAACAAACATGCCAGTAATGCTCTTTAGGTCGATTATGCCTGGACTGCTGCGCTAAGTAAAGACCTCACCTTTCTGCATGGACCTTCAGTTCCTAAGGATTATCATAAACTGGTAGAAAATATGTTTCCCCTCAATTTATGCTATAGTTCAAACCAAACTAAGCATACCTTGCTTTTTCCAGGAACACATTTTGCTATTTTATCCCAGCGATCCGATGTTCCCTTTGGATACTGCTGCAAGGCCATTTCAAGAAGTTTCTGTTGATTTTGAGTCCACAGTTCTTCTGGGGCACGGCTTTTCTCTCTTTTTCTGCTCTCATCATCACTCTCTTCCTCTTGCTCAGCGTTATCAAAATCTTTCTGGCGTCTTCCTCTGCCCTTCTCTTCTGGTACCTCTTTCATTGTTGGTGGAGTCATTTCAGGTGCTTTGATAATTTTTCGTTTGCGGTGTCTAGTTTCACTTGCAATGGTCTCTTTTTGATCTGTTTGGACATCCATCTGCTCTGGGGTCTGATCGTAGTTCCCCTCCTCCTCCTCCTCCTCCTCTTCCTCCTCCCTTTCTCGCTGGGTGATTATGTGGTCTGGCAAATTCACGTTGACTTTGACATTCTTGGAATTCTGGGCCAGGGTTTTAAGCTCGGAGAGCCTAATGATACCTGTTAGAAGTATTGTTGTTACACTTCTAAATAAATAAAACAAACCACAAACAAGCAGGGAATTGCCTGCAAATAAAAGGTACCCAGAATAGTGCAGAGAGGAAAAAAAGCTCTTCTGGATTAAGAGCTTAAGGAAAAGGCTTATCGAGAAATCAGGGTATTTGTTATGAAGCAATGAACTTTGCCAATTATGAGCTTATCTGGTATGTGCAAAGTACTAGCAAATTACCACACTGATATAAACAAACATAACAGAACAGCGTGAACAAACGAACAAACCCCACAATGAACTGAGTAAGAAAGCCTGGGAAGCTGTAGCTAAAGGGAAGCGTTCCCTCGGAATAGCCATCGTTTCTTCTCTTTGCTCCAAGTAAGGCAAGGTTGCCAAAGTCCCTCTGCAAAGCATTCCCCGAAAGGTACGGCATGCGCTGTATCTGCATGGCTATAATCCCAATACAGTGCTTTTTGTAAGCATCAGTGGGGATCCAGTAGCACACACCTGGTGTATATGTAACTGAATCCTTCACTTGTTTGGCTTTCATCGTAACCTGCACGAAAACAACAACAAAAAAAGGACTATTAAAAAAATTACATTACTGGGGCTATTGAAGAGTTCATTAGCAGCTTACTGCAAAATACCACCATCGAACACACATTAAATACAGCGAGGCTGATGCTCTTCTGCTGCCTTTGTTCGTATATGGGTCCCAAACTGGCAAAAAGTAACTTTCTAAACTTTGTCCTTTCTAAAACATTCCTAGCTTATTAAAATCATGTAAGCAATGTCACGCATTTCCATTACTATCACCATAATACATCACAGTTGATATTCAAATTTTATTTTCTTTCATTGTTAAACCCTAATTCTCTAACCTAAAAATACCCCAAGGAGAGGGGGAAAAAGGAAACGAATGAGTTATCTTCTAGATACTAGTTTCTCAATACTGAGCAAAAGAACAAAATAACCCACGTAAGTCCAGATGATGAAGCACGCTAATGGACAGGCATTCAGTCCCAAAATAAAATGTAACAGTTTGACTACCAAAGATCAGCAAAGCCATCTCCTAAGTCCTGATATTTCAGGAAAAAAGTTTATTACATGAGAATCCAAAGGATGGAGAGCTGCCTGCTTCAGCCTCTCCATGTATACGGAAATCCGTGTCCTGGGAGAAAAGTAACACCAGATTTCATTTTACTTAAGTAAGGAACCAAACTGGCTTTCTCCACACCCAGAACGAGGAGCTTCCCCATCCCAAACTTCTAGACCTCGCTATAGATAACAAAGGCAGGCTTCATGTAAAATAAAGATCCTTTTAATCACTTAGCATCTGTGTTGTATCAAATGATCTGGAGTCCAAAATTCAAGTTCTATGTAAAAGCATTTTAAAACGTAGTACTCAAAGAAATATACACACTATTTAATTACTGAAAATGTTTTACGAAGACCAGATTTCAATTTCAGTTTTTTTGAATATGAGGTCTTTGTGAAAAAGCTAGAAATGGAATCAAGTCGTCTGAGCCATCCAAATCAAATACAACTTGGAACGTGAAGAGGCAACGCACTGAACCAGAACCGACACTGCCTGGGATGGGCAGCCTGCGTTTCCTGCTGCCTCAGCCTGGGGCTTCCGATGTTAACACCCATTTACTGTAAGGCACTTGGTAGCGTGCTGCCCACAGCAAAAATAAAAAATACTTCACCTACAAAGTCAGAAATTCCTCCACGTGGGATCGTATTTACCCACAATATGAATCATTTAGACCTTCAGGGCCACAGCATAGACCTCTCATGTTTTAACTAACTAATATTAACCATATGGTTTGGGGTTGTTTAGCCTGGAGAAGAGGAGGCTGAGGGGAGACCTTATCGCTCTCTACAACTACCTGAAAGGAGGCTGTAGCGAGGTGGGGGTCGGCCTCTTTTCTTGAGTAACAAGTGATAGGATGAGAAGAAACGGCCTCAAGCTGCGCCAGGGCAGGTTTAGGTTGGATATTAGGAAATACTTCTTCACCGAAAGGGCAGTCGGCACTGGAACAGGCTGCCCAGGGCAGTGGTTGAGTCCCCATCCCTGGAGGTATTTAAAAGATGGGTAGACGTGGTGCTTAGGGACATGGTTTAGTGGTGGACTTGGCAGTGCTGGGTTAACGGTTGGACTCGGTGATCTTAAGGGTCTTTTCCAACCTTAACGGTTCTATCATTCTAATAACAGACTAGTATCCTCTATGTAGAGCAGCACTAGAAGCAAACCTGCCAGGGCGTCGTACAGCTATTTTCTGGAAGAAGAAGAAAATATAGAGATTCAGGATTTTTGTTCCATTACAGGATTCATAAGTGAGTACTTCAATAGTTAACATACTTTGGTACCATCTGCTTGTAGTCTAGTCTGTTGGTTCCTCCCACCCGCATTTCTGCCTGTGGAACTGCAGGACTTTGCTTTAAAAACAGGCAAGTGCTGGACCTCCTTCACAAAATGACAGCAAGACTTAACAAGGCAGTGGTCTATTT